CAGAGTCTGGGTTCAAAAGGGTTTAGTAAGCTATCCCCTTGGTTTTTGTCTTATATTTTTAGCCGGCTATATCGACCCAAAGCCACTGCATGCCATTTGGATGCTACCCAGCCTGCATGCCTGCCTGCCTGCCTATGGCATCTGAACCTCTATTTAGTTTGCATCCTTAAGTCTTAAACACGAGATCAAGGCCTCACTCACGCACTCAACTGGCCTTACCGAGGATGGCACTTTGGTTCAAGCCTCGGGCTGGAAGAAAGGGAGATGTCCATCGAAGTCTTCGATAAGTACTTCCAGGCCGTCGGGGGCAGAAGATCCCTAAGCGGTTCCGAAGCTTTGGGCAACGAGGTGAGTTTGGCTTTGGCTCCGATGGTTTCTGTACTTGTGCCAGTACCACAGATGCCCGAGAGATCGCTGTCCCAATTTTCTAGGATGCAACCCTCCAAGTAACAGGATTATGCATTCTGGGTGCATGCATTTTCACATCAACCATCTCAGGTTCCCAGGTGAGAACTGAGCCGCAGCAAACTGCACTGATCAAGAAGGTTAATATAGAAACGACAGTCCCAATGGGCCGCAATGCTGTCCAACGGTCCTGGGAGGGCCCATGAAATCTGGTCTTCAACCCTGCTTTTGCTTTGGAAACCATCTATTATTCTTTCAGCTTGAGTCCAGTTTTCCCGTCAGGAGGGGCGGAAGATAGTTACCGTCAAGGATGTCGAGCCGGAGAAGTTTATCAAGGCTGGCGTTGAATTCAGACCGCGCCGGGGATGCTGTAGGGGAGGTTTAGCTTGCAGGCGTATGGGCACTGCGGCATTCTCCTACTCTTGCGCCTGCTCACTTGTGCTTCTTCTTCTTGGATTGCTGATGTGGTTGCTCCAACTGCGCTGCTCCTGCCGCTGCTGTTCTTACAGCTAAGACTAAGACTCTCACAGCTCCTGTCCCTTCTGGTATACTACTACTACTACCACCACCACGACAGCGGCTACTATTATCACTAGTGCTAGTAAATAGTACTGCTAGTACCCGTGCTGGTACTTTGGCTACTGCGAAGGCAGGGAGGAGGAGGAGGAGGAGGCGATGTCGACGACAAATCGCTACCAACCATGTGATCGCAAGACCATCGTTGCCACCAACCCTGCGATGTTACTGATTTACATATAATTAAATACTGTTACTGTATTGCTGTCGTCATATCGTCGGTTCATCTCCCCGAACCAGGCTTTCTCGCAGCACCTGAAGCGACAAGGACGCTTCGAGCTGCCGAAGTGGGCCGATGTTGTCAAAACCAGCAGCTAGCTTCGGGTTCAGGCTTTGGATGTTAGAGCTTTATACTGGGTGCGCTTCAAGCTGCACGGTTGTGCCTGCCTAGCTATTTCGTGGGTCACCTTAAATGTTGTGGAATTTATTTCCTCTTCCGGGCGGTATGGCAGGAATTGCATATCAGGAGTCTGGTTTCTACGTGTACGTGGGGATGCTGAGCAGGTGACAGGATCTTTGTGACCCCGCATGGCCGACTGCAATACTGTGCATCTACTCAAGCGATGTTCATCTGGATTTCCTAGACACCATCATGCCAAGCTGGAACATTGGAGTGCTCATTCCGTCTTCCTCAAACTCAAATCATGTGCCCGTCGTCGTTTGTACAAGTTTCTGTGTGTTTTGTTGTTCTATATATCATCTCGGCCCCTGAACCGGACGGTATGCCAGCAAGGTAAAGCCAAAGAGCTGCCGCCAATGGATCCGGCCTTTCGGCACGATTTCGCTATAGGGGGTTGAGAGTTGCGTGCTTCGGGTTCACCAGTTCAGGGGCGTATGCGCGGTCAAGTGTCGTCGTCTCAATCGATGTGCTATATCTGATATCTCCTATGGCCCCTTGAAGCCTGAAGCAGCGGGAGTCGAATACAGAGTAAACAATTACTAGCTAGTGCACATGTTCTATTCGACTACCGAATACAAAGCTAGAACATACACCCGCCAAAGCCGACTTCTAACTAGCAAAGCAGCTTCACAACTATCCTATAAGCTCCCTAAAACCCTAAACCTTAAACCCTAAACCCTAAACCTTAAACCCTAAACCCTAAACCCTCGAGCGTGGTCGAAGAAGCTCAGGACTGGCTCTACGTCAGGACTGCCTCCATGGCCCGGGCCCTGGCAATGGCTCTGGATGTAATGTAGGGGCCTAGATAATTACGAATACTTTTTTGTTTTTGGGCGGGGTGTTCATTATAACTATAGTATAGTGAGCCCCAACCTTATTATAATCATTAAGGCCCCTATATTACGGGGCAAACAGGCTGATTCAACAGATGCTGTGAAGTGCGAGTGGGATGCTAGTCTATAGGGATAAAAATTGTGAGGTTGTCATGGCCATGTTGATGACGATGACCACCCCCAAAATGCCAATAAGTATGAAGATGAGGAAAGAATATGCTGATGATTATGGTGGTGATGATAACGACGGTGATGTTGATGATGATGATGATGATGATGTTGATGATGATGATGATGATGATAATGAGGTTGTTTGGTGTAGATGATGATGATGATGATGACGATGACGTTGTTGATGATGATGGTGATGATGATGATGGTGGTGGTGGTGAAGATGGTCTTGGTGAAGATGGTGATGATGATCACGGTTGTAATGGTTGTTGGTTGACGATGGTGGTGTTGACGACGACGAAGAGGATGATGCTGACGATGGTGAAAGCAATGGCGTTGATGGTGATGGAGTTGACGAGGATGACATGAAGGCTGGTTATGACGGTCGTGAGGGTTGTGATGATGGAGATGTTGGTGATGATGGTGATGGTGACGACGGCGACGACATGCGACGACGACGATGAGGTGCTGTTTGGCATGCCTTCCGGTAGGATGATGTGCGCAGCCGGCAGCTGCGATAGGCGGTTCAAGCCCTAACAGAACGACAGAATCACTATACTGCATTCCGAATTGCTAATTCCGGCTCGCAGAGAAAGATGGGGAATATTGCGCAGCCCAAATACCTGAGATGAATCGTCAGTGGCCCAGGTTCGAAAGATTTATATCCGCAAGGGCATGGGTGTTGGTGCCTTCAAGAAGGCGCAGACTTCGAATCTCAGGGTTCCACGGTGCCTGGGGTTTAAGTCAATCACACGCCTGCTTTGTCGAGAGTGAGTCCTAAAAAAAATCACAGAACATAGTACGCAATATAAATAATGACATAGCATGGGGGGGTAATCCGGTTTAGGCTTTAATGTGGTGCGCCTTTGGGCGATTTTGGTTGATGGTGCACAGAATGTGACAGGTCTACGGCGGGCAGAAGCGTCGAGGCCGGTCGTGGCTAGAACCGTCTAAGACCGAAGGAGCCCAAAATGTGAGACAACCCTCAGTGGGTTTAGGGTTTAGGGTTTTTGGGATTCAGGGCTTAGTGCATTGCAGTCCCTGCTCAAAAGGGCTATAGGGATTTAGGGTTTAGGGTGAAGGGCCTCTGTGGCAGTCAGGCAAGCTCGCTGAAGCCTGAGTTAGAGAGTGCAGCAGGTGATGTGTAGGAATTCAACCTGGCTCCTAGGAAGCCACGCGGTATTTTGCGTCGCATGTTTTTCGGCTCGAAGTCACAGATGTCCATCCTAAGACTAACAACGCAAGAGCTGAATCCAAATCACAGACTTCGACCGCTCAAACACCATACGTACGGAACCCAGTCATCAACCACAGCATACCCCAAACGGAAATGGCAGGTCTTGTTATTATAGCCACCACAAGCATTGAGGGCTTACAGGTTTGAGTCGGGTATTCGGTTGAAGCAGGGTTTTGGATGAAGAGCTTGGGTTTCCGACCTCAGTGTGGCTGGCCGGCACACAACATAGTGATTGGACAGGCAGACATGGGGGGATCTTCTGACAGGACTCCAGTGAAGACACAAATTGGCAGCCAAGGCGTCTTTCTGCTTCACCACCTAGACAATTGAAACTACTCAGCTTTGCTATCATCTGGAAATGTTGGAGTTTCCGAAAATAAGGGGTATCTTGTTTTGGAGTCTTGGGAGTCCTTATAATAAGGATCCTACTACTTAGGGTACTATACTAGGGTCCCTTATTTTCGAAAACCCCCATGTCTTCTCATCTTCAGCCCTGAATGCAAGATCAGTGTTTGTGGCTTGTGGCCCCTTTGCCCGCCAAGCATGGGCGCCTATATGCCCAGCCGCTGCAAATGCCACCGGTCCGTTGACTTGCTCTGGGATTGCACCTCTTGATCCCCTACTTACGGTTACTTTTTAGGACGACCGAACTGACCGAACGCAGACTCCGTCGTCAAAAGAGGTCCGCAAGCTAATTAGTCGTGTAGCATGGAGGAACCGTCAAGCATTGTCACGGAATACTACCTGGTCAGTTGGTTTCGTCCTCCGAATCTCGAGCGCGCGCTTTGGACGAAGCATAAGCGGTCCTTCAACCCTGGAAGACTAAAAGTCGGAAAGGCACTGAAAGGGCACTGACCCCTTGCAAGGCCGAAGACAGGCCTCGGAGCGCCAGCCAAGGGTTGAGCAGGTTTGAAAGGTGCATAAGAAGGAGTCTTGGTGCGAGCTTTTCGGGTTCTCTAGCTTGCTGACGACCACCCCGTATGTTGGCCCCGTTTGGTCCCTTTGAAAACTGGAGCAAATTGAAATGCCGGAGAGAATTCCAGAGCATATCCTTAGGCCCTACAGTCACGTCCTAGGAAACTGCAACCCAAGACCCTACGCACATCGACATGTCTCCCCCATATCGTCCCTCTGACAACGTAGGATGCTACCAAGTCCCTATAGTCCCAGCCACGTGGTCCAGAAAATGGGTAGTTCTCTAAACTAGGATCCCCGTTTAGCCCCCCAATATAATACGACAAATTAATCAGGCCGCTAAGAGATCCTGAAATGGGTAGTTCTCTAAATTAGGGTCCCTTTTTAGGTCCCCAATATAGTACGGCGCCCTTATAAAAGGAACCCTAATTTAGAGAACTACCCAAATCCCAAATCCCTACACCCTAAACCGAAATGAGTAAGGCCGCTAAGAGATCCTGAAATCCAGAACCTCCAAGGCGATGACCCCAGCGACTCGAGTCGCACAGCTGCCCAGGCTCCGGGCCAGCATGATACTTTTCTTTATTCTGCTTTATTATGTCATTTGGGGTTTAGGATTGTAGTGTTTATAGGGGATTCTGCTTTACTATGTTAGATTCTGTCATGTTAAAGCTGTCGGGTGATTCGATGTTTTGCCGGGGCTGTCGTACGGCTGGGGGTTATATGAGGTTTGACCGTGGAGAGGTCTGGACTTAGAGTGGCCTAGCGTGATAGGAGCCCAGGGCGGTCGCATACCCTGCCGAAGCGGTTGCCCTCAGTCGACTTGCGCATCCCACATCCTGCCATCGCCTGGCATGCCCTTCTTGCAAGCGACACCATTGGGGCCAAAGATCCTGAGCCCTTCCTGACTTTGGCGTTGGCTCGCTTCAGGTGTCGGTCGACACCGTCGAATTCTGGGAGGACTATGGCCAAGCGGAGGCACCGGATGTTCTCGCAGCCCTGCAAGGGACTTGGTACACGAAGGACGAAGCGTGTCGCGTGTTCAAACTGTTGCCTTGAATTTTGGACTGTAATGAGCTTTTGGCGGGAGGCGGGGATGTATGGATTCCAACCGGTTCTGCAGACCATGAGATTGAAACCTAGATCGCAACGCATGCAAGATTCATGAGGGTGACCAAGTTTGCGCGGCGGATGGTGGCAGCTGCCCTCAACTTCAACCCCGACACGAAACCCAGAACCACCATTCAAGCCGAATGCCAGCGATTTGAAACCGCCTATGGCTTTCAGAGGACGGCGGGTATCGAATCGGTGAGCTTTGCGGTCGGAGCATCCTTTGGGATGTGTCCTGGAACATGCGTCCACCTATTTCCGGCCTCACCCTGCTGACGCCAAGTACAGTGAGCCCCACGGACTGCATTCAGAGCAGAGCAGTTCCGGGTTGTGAATGGTTTTCTGTACATACGGAGCATGCGCACTTGCGTAGACAGCTTAGGGTGCTGGCTCTTGCCTTTCTGTACACACGAGGGCCAAGGCCTATAAGCGGCCTATAATTATGCCAGGTTGCAAATCAGTTGTATCAGGCAGAATACAACAACCTACAACAAATGCTTTTTCCGATGTATACCTTCACTACCTAAACCGACAACCCTCCTGGCAGTCGAAGTCTTGACGTTTTGGCTTGTTCAGCAAGCCATACAGCAAACTTAACAGAAGGTACTGTGTAGTCGGGAAGGTGTTGTGTAAATGATGTACTCTACACTCTACACCTTTTCTGTATGTACGCAAGCAGGGTGGCGGGAAGGTCGGTCGGCAGGCAGGTAGGCAGGTAGGTTGGTGTGCAGGAATGCCCGCCCGCTCGCCCGCCCGCCGTCGGTCTGTCTGCCTGTCTGTCTGTTTGTCTGTCTCACTGTCTCTCAGTCAGCTTGTTTGTTCTTTTCCTTTTGTCTATTTGTCTGCTTGTCTGTGTGTACTCACGCATGTATGTAGAGTACTGACATATGTCTGTATACCACTGCTTTATCTCATGGTCATAATAGTATACACCATATTCTCATACGCATTGTATATATATATATATATATTATGAAACATGTTTAGACTAGGCTTTCTGTACTTTAACATACATTTGCACGCGCATATGCTCGTATGCGCCAGGCCTACAATTGGAGAATGTCACGCTCCCTGGCTAGGCAAGCAGGAAGGCTGAGGGTTTAGGGCTTAGGACACCTGCTATAATGTATCTATAATTTAGCATAATATAATATCGTATCTTACGCATCTTATATTGCACTTTACTATAATAGTGCGGTGCCAGACTGTTCAGGGTTGCGAGTGTAGAGTCAAAACTATAGGGGCTTGAATAATTACTTATACTATTTTGGAGTTCCTTATGACAGTGATAGTATAAGATCCCCCCGCCCAAAAAAAACCTATTCTAATTGGTAAGGCCCCTACATTAGAGTGTCCCGGCGCTTGCTTCTCGGACTGTGAGGGCCCGCTGCTGTGGAGAATGTGGGTTTGTTTGGCGGTCTCGAGATCTGAAAGCTTACAGTCTTACTATAGGGGCCTTAGAGATAGTAATTATAACAATGAACCCCAAAAATTAGTAATTGGTAATTATTTAGGCCCATTAGTTTGTTATTGCACGGTTCTTTGCATGCTTGTCACCGAAGCAGAGCCATTTTGTTGAGCTTTGGGGCTGAATGCTTGATTTGGCTTTTAGGCTCTTGGGGCTTCCGGGATGTAGGGCTTATGAAGGGGTTCCTGGCATATGCAGAGTCCAGGGGTAAATGGGTTTAGGGTTTTAGGGCTTATAGGGTCTTGTGGGTCAAGCTGGGCAGTAAGGGCAGCAGCCGAGTCCCTTGTGAAAAAGCGCTTATAGGGTTTGGGGTTTTTGCTTCTGCCGGAGGGTTTTTGCAGGTTTGGGGCCGGTACTACACTCAGCACTCAGTCTCACCGAAAGGGCCAAGGCCAGTACAGGATGGGGTTCGGGGGCTGTTTCTGGTTTGAGGGGTTGGGGTTTAGGGATGTTGAGGGTCAGGGTTGCGAACGGGGGTGGCATGTCTTGGTTGTAGTCTCTGTCTTTCACCTATGATCCTCGCATTAGTTGAATCCTTGATATGGATCCTGTAGCCGTTTACTAGGATGCTTGAGTGTAGTGGCAGGTCACTTGGCCTTACCCTGTAGCTATATCTACTGCGAACCTCAACTAATGTACGTGCCTCCTAGTTTCTACGTCCTTGCATCCCCTACGCAATGCAGCCGAGGCACTTCGGTACACTGCAGCTAGAAGCCCAGCCGACGATCTTCTGGGACACCCAACACATCTGGCTGAAAAAATAGGCCTTTTGCCCCAACGCGGGCATCCCTTAGCTACGTCAGTTGCAGATTTGTGCATCTTACCTTCGAAGAAGCCCCTGTTGCTCCGACGTTTCTGCGTGGCGACCATGAGAAAAGCAGCGGTCGGAGTTGGCAGGGGCAGCCCACAAGGGAAGGAACCATGTCAGACCTCGAATGCCCAGTAGCTCAGTAGGCCCCATTTTCCCGTTTTGGAGTCTTAGGTTCCTTATCAAACTACCCAATACCAAACAGGGATCCCTTCTTGTTCCTAGCTTACTGGGGATCCTAGTCTTATATCTGCAGTAACTACATCTTTTCAATCGCTGAGACGTGCCCAGCCTTTTACAAACTCAAGCCTCGAACACTCCGAATCGTAGAGGCCCTGAACCCTTAAACCTAAACCCGACTACTGCACACATGGATCCTCGCCTGGCTTGTCCGAGTTGTGAGACTGTAAACCCTAAACCCTAGAGGCACCTGCACGAACGTCTTCACCAAGTCCTCGGGCAAGATCGCGCGCGCGGCACTTGGGAGATCCGGTCTCGAGAAGTAGCGGTGGCAGACCGGGGAGGCTCCCCAAAAGGGGAGGGGAGGGGTTTAGGGTTCAGGGTTCAGGGGGAAGAAGAGGCAATGCTGGCAGGCATCAAGTCCGGTTTCAAAAAAGGGTTTAGGGGGCCCTCCTAAAGGAGAGAGGGAGAAGGCTGGAATGGTATGTTGAACCCTGCAAAAGAGCCCCGAAGTTAAGTTAAGAATGGTGTATAGGGCGGCCGAAATGGTGATGGTCTGCAATTCAGAGAATCCGCAATGCCAATGCAGCCTCTCCTCACACAAGATATCCCATCAGGGCATTCATTTCGACATATGCAGATATAGATGTGTGTGAACCAACTTCATCGAGCCCAACTGCGTGCAAACGCACGAGTATAATATAATTGAACGTGTAAATTGGCACAGATGTTTCTGGCTACATGTGGCACAGTGCAAGACTTCAGTTACGTTTTGTTCCCAAGAACGTGCACATCACCCACGCCAACCATTGCTAACAAGTACTGTCTAGAGCCTAGAGCTACCATGCAACGACCCCACACTCAAGGCTACATCTTGCAGCAGCTCGAGGACATTCGCAGATGGTTTTCTTACCATGGAGATTGTAAGCTGCGAGGATTTGGGTGTTGGCAAAGTGAGCTGAGAGTCTCTGGTATGATCTATATTAGGGTCCTACTATTTGGGGGGTACCTTATTTTGGGGTCCTTATAATAAGGATCCTACTATTTGGGGGTACTATATTAGGGGCCACATTCTCACAAAGTGCTGCTGCGTTTGCTGGCATGTGCATCGCCGTGCTGCGTCCCCGATTTGTTGTTCAAGATCGTGCTGAACCCAAGTCCTGCCATTCTCAACCCAGACATGCATTCAGCAGTAGTCAGTCGATCCTTTCCCCAAAGTTTTGGATCCAGGAGATGGGCCTTGTAGAGATGGATGAAAACAGTGGCCGGCAGATCACCAAGGAGCCGAACCGTTGTGTGGAAGAGTCAGGACTTGGCAATTTCCGTCGTTCCAGAATGGTAGTAGCAACCAGTGGAAGTAGTACTGGTGGTGGTGGTGGTGGTGGTGGTGGGAGTAGGGCTGAGTAGGGGGGGGGCATTGTGAGTAAGAGGCAGTAGTAATAGTATATAAGCAGGTAGCAATAGCAAGGGTCGGCTTTGCTTCTGAATCGTGCTAGTTGGAGGTACTTGTAGCAGGTAGCAGGTAGCAAGAAGTTAGACATGGATTGTTTTGGATGTCAATGTTGAGCAAATGCTACGGCACTAGGCTGTTCCCATATCAATCTAAGAGAGCCACCAATCTCACGCTTGCGAAGCCAATGCGACAGCAAGTTGGACAAAAGCGTCTTAGGTAGGCAAGCTGCTTGATAACTCCGTCGGCGTTTGAAGTCACCGACCCCACACACGGAGCAGGAAGGCCAGCGCGAGCTGGACACTGTGGCCGTGCAGGCAGACTGTCGGTATCAGGCATCAGGTTGTGGCTGAGAGCCGATGTGCAGCGGAAGGAGATGTATTGCCGCTGCTGGACACCTTAGCACCTTAGCAGTCATGCCTTGAAACCCTCATAGCCCTGGGCAAAACCCAGCTTTGTGACGTATGTATGTATGTATGTATGTATGTATGTATGTATGTATGTATGTATGTATGTATGTATATATGTATGTAACTGTATGCATGTACGTATGTATGTGTATATATATATACTGACATATATGTGTACAGGTGTGTGTGTGTGTGTGTGTGTGCGTGTGTGTGTGTATGTATGTGTATGTATGTGTGTGTGTATGTATGTGTGTGTATGTATGTATGTGCGTGGGTGTATGTTTGTGTGTGTGTGTGTATGTATGTGTGTATGTGTTTGTGTGTGTATATGTAGGTATGTATGTGTGCGTATGTACGTATGTATGTTTGTTTGTTTGTATGTATACGTTTATATTTATATATGCATACACATACATATGCATATACAAAAATGTGTATATATGTATGGATACATGCATGTTTGCATGTATGTACATATGTATGCATGTATGTTTGTTTGGCTGGTTGGTTGGTGTTTATGTTATGTTCGCCAATGTTACTTAGGTTAAGTTAGGTTAAGTTATGTATGTATGTATGTATGTATGTATGTATGTATGTATGTATGTGCATATGTACATACATGCGTATATACATACATACATACAT